GCATGCGTTGCAGCTGGCTTGAGAAACAAGCGTGCGGGTCAGATAAGGGCAACCAACCGCCATTACGCTTTATGGAAGGTCGCGTCCGGGTTCAAAATGAAAACGAGCAATTGCTGGAAACCAAACCGGTCTGCATGACCAGGCCGTCACGTTTGATGCTCGGAAATATCATATGTAGGAAGCATCATGGAAAAATAGTGAGCTTGAGCATACACAACATGATTATGAATCTCATATCGATCGCGGAACTCATGGAACTTTCCACAGTGACCGCGTAGTGACCGTAGTGACCGCGTAGTGACCGCGTAGTGACCTTGTGGTAACCGCGTAGTACCGCGTAGTGACCTCGTGGAGACTTGGATTTTGACTTGGTCTTTTTAAGTCTAAAATGGCCAATGAAGGGCTGTTGAGTCACTGTTCCGAAATGGCGATAAACGGCAAAATTAAGCCTCTTCGAATAATATGTGAGGGTATGCTCATGGGACCTCTTTCGGTTTTTGGCGTTTTTCGACGTTTCAAGCGACTTCGACGCTCGCGGTTTCGGAAACGGATGCTCGCTTCTGCTCGAAAAGCATCCGCGGGCATGCCAAACAGAGCGCTTTACGAGCGGCTCCACGGCAAACGTTTCTGTTTGTTTTGACGGTTGCTGGACGTCTCCCGTTCCAGCGATTGACCGTTTTGCAAGTGCGCGAAAGCTGCGCGGCAGCACCCGGCAAGAGATTTTCAATTGCAAAAACTTGAAATGAAACGAGCTTATGGCTTCGAAAACTGCAAAATAGCGCCAAAAACCTTCTTGCACTCGGAAAATTGACTGACTGTCCTTCCGAGCGTCAGGGCCTTGGTGCGGCTGAACGACAATTGCAATCCTGCGTCAAAGGCACCAAGCGGGACTCGCGCTGAAGTGCAAAATGAACCGTTGAAGGGTTGAACCTGGGTTGCACCTGGGTTAAACTTGGGTGAACCTGGGTTGAACCCAAGTTGAACCAGGTTGCTGGGTTGAACCCAGGTACTGTTGGTACGTTGGTCAAAAAAGTTATTTACCGAAGGTCTGTGTGGCAGCTGCGAAAATTTTGGGATGTTATGGCAAGTTGCGCGCCACTGCGGCTTCCAAAAGCCCAGCTTCAATTTTTGGGTCGCAACACTTCTTCTATGTGACCCGGATCCGAAGAATGAAGCTATTTTTGGAGATTTTCTTTTTACCAGGGAGACAGCATGCTCCTATGATCGTGGCTGGTGTTTGCTGGGCATCGCGGTGCTTCTGTTCGAATCAAACCATGCCCGGCCTTCTGCACCCAAAGAGCGACATAGATGGCAACTGGCCGCCTCAATGCATTTCGGAGTACGCTTTGCTACAGCGATGGGTGCGTCCACGAATGAGTGGCAGTGTTGTGGGTGGTGGTTGTGGGTTGTGGCGAGTTGTTGCAGTCTCCCAGTTCCAAGGTTCATTGCTTCCCCAGAATGCCACTGCAACAGAAGAGGAAGCCGTAGAGCCTTTCTGAAGGTCTTCCAGTGGATGTTGCTGCCTTGGTTGGAGCCTCAAGTTTGCAATTGCTTTCAATTTTCCAGTGCCTTGAAGCACGAGTTGATCCTAAAGTCAGTGACAACTCCAGCAGGCAGCAACGCGACCAGGGAGACCCCAGTCCCCTAGCCCTAGCCACTTGGTTGCCATGTGAGTGGTCTTTGTTTGCATCAATGCAGAATCTATAGCACATGATCTTTTCACATCTTTTCTGATTCTGCTGCGCCAGGCCAACTACAAGGCATCTTGCCCTACCCTTGTGAAACTGCACGGCGCCTGTGCTGGTGCCCCAGAGATGCAATTTTCTGCTTGACTGATATGGCGAACACAATCTGTAAGGCCTAGTGGTATAGCACGAAGTGTTGTTGGATGGTGAAAGACCGCGTTCCCTCACAACTGCCGATCCGTGTTTCGGTTTCAGCTGATTTGGAGTTTCACAACCAAGTTCTCGGGTTTCCCACGGCATCTGCTTTGCAATGCCCTGGTGCGAATCTAAGCCGCAACCATTCACAGTGCTTGAAAGTCTGCTCCATGCCGTGGTCGGGCTCCTCCTCCTGATGATGATCGTGGCAGCTGCCAGTACCCTTTCAGCGACAAGCTCCGGGTTTAGCAATGGCGCATGTTGCATTGCTCGTAGTTGTGATGTCTTTGCTCTCCCAAAGGCCGACTTGGCAAAAGAACTCCAAGCAAATGGACAAAGGGAGTGCGGTCCCATCAGCCGCGCAGCAACAGCTGCTATGGGCTGTGAGAGTGATTACTTTGTGAACTCGACTGACAATGCCACCGATTGCATCATCAATAGTGGAGCTTGTGCGACAGGAGACGTCAGGGACTCCCTGAGAACATCGGCCATTCTCACGATCGTTTTTGTCATCATCAGTGGAATATGGACAACGGTGTTCGCCCTGAGGCTACGCGGATATTTAGTTGGGCTCCTGTACTTTTGCATGGGTGGCGCGACGCAAGTAGCCACAATTCTCACCTCCATTGCATCTGGCCCAGTGCTGGGAGGGGAGTTGAGCACCACGAAAGGCCTCACACATTGCCTTGCGCGTGCCACGAAGGGCAACAAATGCTTGCAGACTGAGCCACAGCGATTGACATGTGGCGATGCATCGCCTGAGGCCATGCAGGTTCAGTACGTTCTCGATACCGGCTCGGCCAACATCTGGTTGATTCTGGATATTGCATCCCTCCGCTGTGCTTTGTGATCTTGACCCTAATGTTCTATTGGCTTAGATGTCGGTCAACTGAGGGTAGCAGGGTAGGAAATGGTAGCTGATTAAATGTTGTTTCTCTGTCTCACTTGAAGCCCTGAAAAATCCTGAGGGTCAAAACATCTTCTTTGTGGAGCTGGTGTGTTTTGATGTGTTTTGTATGTCATTTTTTGATATGTGTTGTAATTGAAGGCGGAAGTGGCATTTGGGCTGCCTCAGCAGAAGTTTGCTGTTGAAAGTCACGACGTAAGGTGTTGAAACGAACATTCTTAATGCGTCTTGTAGCGTTTGGTGGAAGGAGGATGTACAAATCCTGTGCATGGTCGCTGTGCATAGAGAGAAAAGGAACAAAGAGGAGCTTTTGCCCATCCACCTCGACGTCCTTGAAAGGACTTCATGCCAATAGTTTTGCAGCCCGAGGATTATGACTTGTCTGATGATGACAAGAGCTTGCCCGCTCCCACCCTGGTCCGAGCGGTGTCAAAGCGTGTACAGCAGGATCTTTGCCGTTCAGAATGATGCTACGTGTTTCACAGGTGCGCACGCCAGACATTAACGGTGAGTCGCCGCGGCGAGCGGAGGAGCGCAACCGCAACCCGTGTTGCTCTCTGACGCGTTTGAAAGACTAGCAGATTTTTTCATCTCTGCAGACAGGGCTGAACCAAAATTGCTACCTCAACTTCATGTATCCAAATCCCTTCAGTGGCTGTTCTGCAGTCCTTTCAGCCGATCTGTTGCAAAGACACTGCCCAACAACTCCATGGGTGCCCCTGGAAGGATAATTTGAGGGTCTTCATGGGCAAGATCCCCCAGGGCACTGGCTCGCCAGATGAGGGTGGAGGTACAAGGCCAGGTTGCCGAGGCGTATTCTTTTGAAGGTGATGTTGTTGCAATGCGCTTCGTACGCAGGGGCTGGTCAACTACTGAGAACCATTGCGTGCTTGTCCTGGCACTGCTGGGCAGCATTGTGAGCTGACTCAATCTGCCATGATACTGAGATCTACACCTTGCGCCAAAGCGCAGTCATCTATGCTGGAAGCTCGTTGTGCATAAGGGACGGAGCCTCGGAAGGGTCGGCGACCGTCGCATTCCTGAAAGTTTGTTGGGACGAAGTCTCGGATTTCCAGGTCACTGCCAACAACCCGGACATGCCTCTGCAGCGGATGAATCCTGTCAACCGATGGCAGGCTGCTCAAGCGTAGTGTCCGTCTACAGCAAACAGGTGTGTATAAGTAGCAAATTTGCGGCTGCTAAGGGCGGAACTGAAACTTGACCACAGTGATGTTGTATACACCGTGGCAGGTCACGCTCACCAGCAAGGGCTACCACCAGTATGAAGTCACTTTCCCTCCAGCACCTTGGTGAACGGTATTAAGACGTGAAGTTTTAAATTGTTCAGACTAGCCACATGATTGCCGGGCCAAACATGTTTCTCGCACAAGCCCTACACATTTCTCCGTCTCGGATGTTGATTGTTGATTGAACTCACAGATTCGGTATATAACTTGAACTTACAGTGATACGGCTGCCCATATATGAGACGTACCCTGCCCTTCATTGCGTTTGTCAGCCAGTCTTTCGGAGGGTATGTTGTTCTCTCCGTCAATGATTTTTGGTGTTTCCTTCCGTCTTCGCTTGGATCAGCCCTCGTCTCTCGTCTTCTCCCTTTCGCCCATTGTCTCTCCATCTCTGCCGCTCTCGCTCTGTCCTTCCCTCTCTCCCTCCCTCTCTCTCCCTCGCTCTCCCTCTCTCTCCTTCTCGCTCTCCCTCCTACCTCTCGTTCGTCCCTTCTCCCCTTCCCGTCCTGCTTCCCCTGCACACGTCCCTGCAAGCCAGCCATTGCCATTGCCATCCCGCCACAGCTGAGGTGATCTTCAACACCATTCTCGCAAACTTCAGCTCCAACACTGTCAGCACCTCAGTCTATCTTCCTGCTTTGTTCTCATGAATAGCAGAGTGAATCCTTGGGTTTCCAGGCTGTGTTGGAAAAGAATGATATGCAACCCTTGATCGTGCCATCGAACTGGATGTACTCGGTTGGCAGCCTAGGCTTGACTGCAGCTTGAACGAAGCAACGCCCTGCTCCAGGAAAGCAGTATCGTGATGCACCAGCTTGGGGGCTTGGAAGTCCAAACTGGGGCATCACCACTCCAACTGCGTCGAAGAGGGTGGCCGGTGCAGACCAGTACGATAGCCAACGATACCTGAGACAATGCCAGGCGGCACAAACCCCCAAGCATCTTCAGACATGTTGCTGCGACAGTATGCTCTGCAAACCAGCGAATGTGCTAAAGACCCAGCATACCTCAACCGATTGGTGGAAGCATCCAAAGGTGCGCAGCAAGCTAGAGACTATGCAGCTGGAGTGGTGATGCGGGTGAGGCCGTGGCCGCGGAACATTCAGGCCATTGAAGTGGACTTTTTGCTGCATCCGCAGCAAGTTCGCAGCGGAGAGATGAAATTCCAGTTCAAATAGTTCAGAGCACTACGAAAATGAGTGCAGACTGGAGAAACATTGCAGAGCAGTGCGCCATGGGAGTTATGGTAGAAATCATGGCCAAAGGATATGGCTGCTACCAGAAGCCAAGCATGGGAAAGATTCAGGCTGCGCTGAAGTTTATTTTTCCGAAAGGATGCATGCTCTTTTTTGTACAATGGCTTCGAGGGCAACTTTGTCGAGCGGAGCGACATGCATTGCTATTGCTAATGATGAGCAGCTATTCGGTTTCCAAGAAGTTTCAGCCGCGAAGGATTAGTTAACACCGGGCCCTGAGTCTTACTCCTCCCTTATGGGCAGTAACCAGGGTCACCCGGGCTCCGAACGTAGAGTCAACTCCCGCATGTCTGCAGCAAGCCTCCAAGAGTCATGGTTCCAGAGTAAACATAGGGTTCTAAAAGCTGAGGGTTTGGTGTTTAAAGTTTAGGGTTTACGGGTCTTTCTTAAATGCGGCCTACTGGAGGACCAAGTTCGCTGACGCAAGTTCAATGGGCAATCTTGGAATAGGGACCAGGGCTGCTTTAGAATCTAAGGGTAATTGCATGGTCCCTTAATGTGGTCCCTTACCTTCTTTCAAGGGAGGGCCCATATGAAGGGACCATGGAGCTACCCTAAGATAGAAACCTTGGCCACAAGTTGAAAGCTACCCCTGGCCTCTGATGTTCGTCTCAGTGGCCACAAAGCTGCACCCACTGGAACCTGTAGCCAGTGCTGCGACCCCTAATGATTGTTGCATGTTTCAGGTGCGATGTACAGGATTAGGTTGAGATTGCGTTGCCGCAGACTTTTGATGCTTGGCATCGCACCCGCATACGCCGGGTTGTCTTTGTTTCACCGTGCAGGCCTTGCTGTCGAGGAAACACCGAGGGTCATGCTCGCAGCGTCGTGATTGTCCATCCTGCAATACCCTCATTGTTGCCTGCTTCCACCCTAGAAAACCAATGATCTCACGATCATAAGGTCATGAGCCTTCCTTGTGTCACACACGCAAAGCCAATGATCTCATGATCATAAGCTCATAAGACTTTTCCCCCTTCAGAACCAATAATCTCCTGATTATGGGCTCATGAATTTTGACCTGTGGTGCTCACGCGGGGCCGCCTCTGCAAGTTGCCCTGCGATGTTGCGTTCCTGGGTATCCCTAGGTCCCGGAGCCCGGCCGGACAAGGAGAGGGGTCAAAAGCATCAATCGCCACGACGGCTGTTTCGAAAAGCGGCCAAAGATTCGTAAAATGGCCACAATTCCGCGATGGATTTGATGGAGGTGCTGAGGGGAGAGATCATGACAAAAACATCAAAAGCATCAAACGCCAGGACTGCCTCGAAAAGCGGCCAAAGGCTCGTGAAATGGCCAGCAATCCGCATTTGACTGATTTGATGGATTTGATGGGGGTGTTGAAGGGAGGGGTTAAAAGCATCAAAACCATCAAATGCCACGGCTGCTTCGAAAAGCGACCCGAAGGCTTATAAAACGGCCAACAATCGCATGTGACCGATTTGATGGATTTGATGGGGGTGTTGAAGGGAGGGATCAAAAGTGTCAAAAGCATCAAACGACACGGCTGCCGCGAAAAGCGGCCAAAGGCTCGTCAAATGGCCAATCCGCATTTGACCGATGGATTTGATGGAGAGTTGAGGGGGGAAGAGGCTGCTTGGATCCCCAGGAAACAGTTCTTGGCAAACTTGTGCCACCAGATTTCACCATGTCTGGTCCCCAACTTAAACCCTAACCCTAAACCCTAAACCCTAGACCCTTTTATTGTAGACTCTAAGGTTTTAGGGCCTACTTGCATGTGCGGTGGGCAGATCCTGGAAGGGCATAGCTCCAAAGGCATGGCGCTTTGGTGCATTTTGGTTGAATCGGAAACCATGGTTGCTAGTTAGAGCGACGTACTGCAGATCGGCAGGTCCCTGGTTCAAATCCGGGTGTGCCCTCATGTTCCACTTAACCTCAGTGACCTGCAACCAAAGGCTGAGATGGAAAAGTGCCCCGCCTCGATGATGTTCTTCCTTTGAATTTAAGGCTCATGTGCAAAACTGGAGACCTCACACCCTAAACCCGAAACCCTAGTCGAATTCATTGGTGACTTCGCACAGCGTGATCAATCCCAAGTCCGAAGCTAATCCGTCTAGTGGAGCTTTCACCAGTGCCCGTCACCGTGCAATGCGCGAGTGGTCCGGTCTACAATCAGGCGGCCTTCGTTTGCTGTATCATCATTCGTAGTATTGTTGCATTTGGATTTATTCATATGTTTATGATATTTGCCGTTATTGCTGTTTTGAATATTCTTATCCATATAATCACTATTATTATTGTATTATCTTGTTCGATGTGGGTGCTTGGCGCAGTTGGCAGTTTCATAAGACATTGCGGCCTGTGAAGGCCTTGAGGAGATAGCTGGGGTGAAGAGCCTCTGAAGTTTGTCGGACTGCAGGGTTAAAGGATGTCCTCGTCAATCCTCAAGTAGAGTTCGGAGGATTCAGCTGAGAAGCCCCAACCCCTCTTGCACCGGGGGCTGTGTGTTTGGGGCTGATATCCAGGACCCTTCTTTCCTCAAGGTTCTATGTTGGGATAGCGCAGAGGTTCTCAGGGAAAATCCAGGTGTTTGGATGTTGTGGACAAATCCTAAACCCCACAGATCCCAATACCAGGAGTAGACCTTTGAATCAGAATGTTACGCATGCCCATTTGTATTTTGAGGTGTACTCTTCAATTACAGGATATTGGGCCCTGGAAACCCTGATCCCAGTTGCATGGCTTTTGCCCTCGCTTCTGCTGCTATCGATCCTGCCACGAGGCCTCAGAGCGAGTGCGGGGCGGAAAATTCGGATTTCGTGATGTCGAGGGAGTTTAGGGGGTAGAACATGCGGCAAAACAAGAAAGCAGAACGAATTTTGGGCCGTATAAGCTTCAACCATGCTTCGCAGTCTTGGGCATGGGTAACGCTGCCAGGGATGCGTGGTCTTTGGGGTGTGGGCCGGTGTGGGGGTTAAGTTTAGGATAAAAAATATATCCATCATCCTCTCTATGCCGGCACTGTTGGTGTTGGACAAAGCGCCGTGGTCTCTTCAAGTGGGGCCAGAAGCCACGCGAGCACCAAGTGCCGGCCACATGGATGCTGCAACACGTGCATTTCAGCTTCCGCAAGACGTCCTGCTTCATACCTGCTGGCACGGCAAAAGAGACGGGGCTTTCGTATAAAGCCCTAAACCCTCGACCCTCCTCACCTGCGAGCAGAAGCATCCTTTCGAGCGTCTACCACATGCGAAGCACAGGAGAGGTGGCCATTGTCGCAAGCGCACCAAATCTGAAAACTGCTGGTTTTTTAACCTAAACCCTAAACACTAAACTATTTTGTAGGCGATATGAGAACCCCTGTGGAGGGTTTAGGGTGTAGGGTTCAGGAGTTTGGGGGTTTTGCTATGGAGCTCTCGCGGGAGGACTTGAGGTTCAGCAAAGTCCGAGTAGCAACGATTTCTACTGTACTAAACCATACACCGCACCGTACGACAGGATACGAAACGATAACATACTATATTGAATATCATGTTGTGACATGTTTTTTCTTGGCCAGACTCTGCCCCAAGCCCTATTTGGGAGTTGTTGCATCCGTTTCTCAGGATTCGTAGCTTGTGCAGAACTTCCAAAAGGACGGCTTGCGAGAGCCCCGAACCTTCAAACTTGATAGTTAGATCTACCCATACCATTTTGGGGGCTCCTTATTAATAAGTATAGTAGAATATACCCGACAACCCTAGTCTTATTATTAAGAGGGTTCTTTGAAGGTTCGGACCGGCTTTTTAAGTGCTAAGCCGCCAAACCCGAAAAAGCCTTAGACTCTGAACTCCAAACCATGAACCCTCAACCCTCAACCTTAAACCCTAAACCAGGCCCAAGACCCTTGAAGCCCTAGAAGCCCCATCAGCCCTAAACCCTAAACCCTTAAAGTTTGAACAATAGAGGGGCCAAAATCATTACCCATACTATTCTGGGGGTACCTTATTATAACTATAGCATAACGGGCTCCAAAAACCTATTCTAACTATTAAGGCCCCCGAGGATGCTGTTGGGATCCCAAACATCTGTGCCCTTAGTCTTGGGACCTTAAATGATTAGGGGTGGGACCCTAAACTCTAAACCCTAAACCCACTAGTTCCATAATAAGGGATAAGGGGTGAGGGCTTGAGGCCCCAGTTGTTCTGTAACGAAAGGTGCCTGAAGAAAGTTGCAATGGGGTTGTCGGGGTAAGCTGAGAGAACCCTTGTCTTTCAAAGAGCCTGGCGTCGTGTCTAGGCCTCGGTGTTTTGATTTCCTTTCAGGTTCAGGGTTAAGGGTTGTGCCGCTGTACGGGTTTACATGCGGTTGGATCAGGTCTTGGGGAAGTCGATTTAGGGTTCAGGCTTTGGGACAAGCTGCCGTGCATAGCATGGGAGAGTTCCAATGTTTCTGAGCTTGAGCAACTTTCCAGGGTGTAGGGTGTAGGTCTATAAGTAGTTCATGTTCTCGGGCATAGTTTTTTCTTGCTGCCTTCAAGGAGCTGCATGAATTCTGCATCCTCAAGGATCAACCCCGATTCATGATCTCGAGAGCCCGCACGTCAGGAAGATGTGGTTCCTTCACAACCGTTGGATCGTTCCGTGGCTTCACAGATTCCGGTTCAAGGCTGGGTGTTTCGAGATTTGCGAGAGGCTGGGGCGGTGGTGGCTGCGAGTATGAAGAATAGAACAACATGACCAAACAGAGGAAGACGGCCCGTGTGACGACGGCCCTGATTTGTCGTCGTCGTCACCACTGCCGCCGTGTTCGCTGAATGTGCGAGCCACTTTTGATCGTCGTCCCATGAGCGATTTGCTTTGGTGGTCGTCGACATATGG